CTGTAGCGTGAAGCGGCACCGGAAGTTCGCCGTGTGCTCCCGTTAATTGCACTAGCGACTTCACATGACCCCACCTTCTACTTCTACTATTTTCCAGTATACCCGCTCAGGGAATTCATTGTACGATCGGCAGAATACGACGTATTTCTGGCGTTACCTGCCTACATCGGTCGTTCAAAAATCGCATAAATTAATGAGCGTTGAACTTTTCGGTTCAAAGCGTTTGATTTGAGAGGCGTATATTCGAGTGAGCTTGTACACATATTCTGAACCATATTTAATTACATAATATAATATAAGATCAATTCGATGGAATGTACAAATTAATATTATTAGCATATAGATTTTTTATTTGAAATTATTGGACAAATTTTTTTAATATATTCCTCAACGTGAAGTCGATTTTTCTTCAGCAAATATTCGATTTCAGCAATAATTCGATCCTTCTTTTTAAAATATTTTTTTTTATTGTCTGCTAATTTTTTTATGTTAAATATTCTGACGATTAATAACAAGAATTAACTCTCTTCTACTGAATAAAATTAAGCTCTTATAAAAATGAAAAATAGGATTCTTTTAATATCAAAGTTAATTTTTAAGATTTTACTCAAATCTTACTTCTTATGGAATAACTGAAGATAACATGCGTATTTCACTTTGCGGGCATAATCTTTTTCCAGTTCCCACACATTCCTATTTGGTATGCGTCATTAAATTCTAGTCCCGTGCATAATTTCGTTTTATAATTTAATTACATAGAATATAAAGTATCAGATTTCATAGTAATTGTTAGCCCAATGAGTTAAACTTTAGTATAAAATTATGTGTATGTTACATTAATGTGTATCCTAAATAAATTCAATTCAAATGTTTTCTACATATAAAAAATTACAAATAAAATTCTGTTTCTAAAATGAATTATAGGTCGTTTAGACAGTTCACAACAGAATTTAGAACGTAATTTAATCTATAACTTTATGTCATATTTTAATTTATGTATAATAATATATTTTAATATTATATACATTATATTATATTTAAATATAATATATATTTTCATATTTAGCAGTATACGTGTACTTTAAATTTTTTTGCGACGCATTAAATAAATAAAATCTTATTGTTAGATTCTTAGATTCTGAATTATAGATAATATAAGTCCGAGATTTAAATAAAATATGTGCGCAGTCGTGCACAACTTATTGGTCAACATTTCTTTTAGGATCTTAGAAGTGAACGGAAAACTCGTAGTAGGAGCAGGCAGGAGCGATCTGGCACGTCTTCTGGCCGTCGCGCCTGACGCCGCACAGATAGTGGTTCTTCGAAAGGGAGAATCCCTTGCAGCATTGCGTACTTTACGCTCTGATAATCTCAGGCTAACGCATAGAATCGGGTACCTCGAGGAACAGGTCAGAGATCTTTTGGCGCCGAGCAGAACCGAAGTCCCCACTGAAGATCCATCGCCAAGTCGTCAGGAACATGTGCAGGTAACGCTGGCACATTCGGGATCGAGATAAATCAACACATCTTCTCTTCCAGAGAAGCATCTGAGTTGATAGAGACGAAAATTCGTTCAGTCGCGATCAATTCCAAAATTCTAATTCTATTACATAAATATATTTATTTATAAATGGTTATTTAAAAAAATTTATATCAAAAGAAAGCAACTTCATAAAAACCGCATAGAAGAATATAAATAAATAATATCAAGCATATATTGTATTTACTGCATCATAATAAGCAATAATACTAATTATAAGATAGTTGATGTTTTGATGAAAATTTCTTTTAGCAATATTAAAATAGTTGATATCTTGAGTAAAAATTTATGTATGTTTTATCATTTACGTAAAATATATTTATATATTTAAATTTTTGATAATGAAGATCTCTTCTCATTAAGAATGTTCTTACTAATGTAAGAAGATAACACTTAAACGAAGCAAAGAATATAATTGAAAGAAATGATTGATTGTGCTATTGGATTTTTATTTAATTAGGTTTTCACAATCGATTGAAATTGATGTTGATTTGGAAATTCAATTTTGTCCAATTTATGTCATAGGTTTTCCAGAAGGGGCCTCAAGTGACAGCACTTGTGGCGAATCTACCTGGTCTCAATGTGAGAAGCTGCACGGAATTGCGGCAGAGCCTGCCGACCGTCCGAAGTAGACACAGCGATCAATCCAGGATTCGCCTGACGGATTCGAGGAACCAGCGCGAGCTCGACTTTTCGTCCGATGGGGTGGCGAACGGTCATCACAAGTCTCGAAATCGACAAAAACATCAAGGACTTCAGTTGGCCAGATCGACAGCCAGTCTTGATTGCAAACAGTCACCGATGCAGATACAGCGTCGAAGATCGCCGCGTGTTGAGTCTGCCATGGAACATTTGCACAAAAATCGCAAGAATGGCTCGCAATTACAATCCCTGGAGTTTGATTCCGAACCTACTTATTATCGTTTGCAGGTATTTATATCGCTTACATAATGACGCAGTATACAAATGGGAAATTGCTAAAACTAAATAGCTATTATTTTATAATGAGTAGACAAAAACAAATTAACCAAAAAATATTTTACAATATATATTATACTTTATACTTAATAACAATAAATAATGTTTAATATTTTTTTACAAAGTATACTATATACTTACCTACTTCACCAAACTCTAATACGGTATACCTCTTCCGTATTTAGGATTCGCAGTCTCGCACGTCGGAAAATTCAGAAATATCAGCGGTATACAGTTCCCAAGAGGCGAAGACTCGTCCAGCGCCACCGAAAAAACCACTGCGACTCTCCCTGCATCGCGCAGCAAGTCTTCAGTCCGTAGAAAGCGCACCGCCAGCCGCGTCACAGCATGATATAGCGCGAAAGCCGACAAAGAGAAACCACCGAGGTGATCCACCTATAGAAAAGACTGCATCGCGACCTGAGATAAACGGGAACGGGAACGTGAATTCCCAAGAGTCTCACGGTCCACCGCAGCCACCCCCAAGGACGCCCTCCAGGGCAGAATCATGTCAAAGCGCCCTGCGATGGCCCTCTCCTAAGCCAAGAGCGCACTTAACGTCTGTGCCAATGGAGAAATGGTGTTGAATCTCTTGGGAATTTACGAATGTTTCTCGGATGAGAGAATGGAAGAAAGAAAAACGAAAGAATAAACAGAAACAGTTTCTGAGATAACTAGAAATTTTGAAAGCATAGCGTTGACATTATAGCAAATTGCGAAAAAAAGAACGAAAGCAATGTTGATATTATTGATAAATAGAGAAACGATGTATGAAAGTTTTATCTAATAGCTTCTTAAGACGTTCAATTTGGAATTGATTACGTTACAAACTGACAATGCGTTAAAAATAGAATTTAATCTATGCTCCTGCTTTATCAATTCAATGACTAACGCATTCTTGATTAGTTCTACGTATATAATATAAAATATATTTTTAGTATAATAATTATGATATATCATATCAAGAGCGCAAGGATAAAATTATGTCGCAAGGATAGAATTTAAGATCAATGTTTATAACGAAGTTTATCTTAGTTTGTCTCTTTTTATAAAATCTGATACGCTCATTTCCTAAAACGAGATATTTATCTCGCTCGAGATAAAAACATAAGACTGATAAATTGCATAAATTATCGGATAGAACATAACTTTGAATGAAGATAAATACAAAAAAATCGGAGATCTCTAATATAATACTTTATACTTTAAATGTATATATTCTCATTTTCATTTCTAAAAGATTCTATTAAGTGATAAAAAAATAACATTTTTTCAAGGTCCTTTAAGAGATTGTGTTCTTTGATTTTCAGTTTTTACTAGATGGAAGTCCTTGAAATTAACATTTACAATATTTCTTTTTTAATTAAAGTAATAAACAGCCAATCAATATTTTCTGTTAGTACATTTGTTTATCTCTTTACAATGAAAAAAATATAATTATTAAAGTGTAACATATAATTGCGGTCTTCCAGCTTCCTGCCGCTAATTGTACATTTTTTATATATATGATCAATGGTTATGTGGCAGATTATTTGCTTTCACAATCTCTTACAAAAGTAGCTTACATAAGGTAAATTTTGTCACATCAAAGATCGAGAAAACAAATAGAAATAAAGAGTATGTACGTATTTCAATTATCGCGTATCGTCTTCTGTTTTAATTTCCAATATAAAAAAATCCTTTGCGTCATTCATTATATTACATATTATTTTCCTTAACAGAAGATCATGAACGCATGTATATATTTGCAAACCGGACAATAAATGCATAAATCTGTTGTGATTATTTAATAATTTATTACCTGGTTTTGTAATTAAACACATTTGTAATAAAAAAGACATGGAATATTTGTTAATGCAATTCTACGTG